TAAAAAACCACGTCCCCCAGCCCTGTTGCATCCAGGGAGTTTTCTACAGTGGAACGTAAGTGAAAGGAAAGCATTGCCCACTGTCCACAGGAGGGGGACGGGAAGAGCACGTGGAGAGTGATTCCATTCCCCGCCTTTCCTTTGGCAGGGACCTCGGAGTCCATGTGTAGAAGATGGCAGCACGAGAAGGGAGCAGCTTGGGTCCCTCAGTGACATCAAGAAGCAGGGCACCACCGCCCAGCCAAGCCTCACTGGTCTCCACCTTGAATAAGAAATAAACTGTTGCTGAGATAGGTCTGCTGGAGGAACTCAGGAGTTGGAAAGTTTTAGTTTTAGGTAATAGTTAATAAGCTTAGTAGTTAATGAATGTAAAACACCATTGTTTCAGAACTGAAGGTACGGCCCACCCTGACTCCAGGGGACCACAACAAGTCAACCTTTGTGCTCCAGAAGAGACCGTGAGCAGCCAAGGTGGTATCCGAGCCATTGTGATCCACGGGGAGACTCCCAGGGCACAGAAAGAAAATCACCCAGGATACAGCACAAAAGACCCAGATTAAAAAAAAAAAAATCCTGGGTCAACAAAGGAAGGGGCTTTAGGGAAATTGCCGAACCAGATCTTTTATCTGATTAACCTACTTCCTGAATTCCAAATCCCTTATCTACATTTTTTTCCCCTTGAATTCCAATTCCCTTACCTACACCTTTTTTTCCTTATAAAAAAGGCTGGGTAGAGAGGAAATGTAAGACTGGTCTGTAAGGGCACATAACCCGCCATCTTCTCAGATCGCTGGCCATCTGGGTAAAGCACCCACAAAGATTCAAGCCCTGTCTCTGCTTGTTGGTTCTGGTAGCGACAGGCAGCCCGAACGCCGACATTTCTGGTTTCAGGTCTGTGTGTTACAGCAGTTTGTATCTCTGTATTACTTGCTCTAATACCTCCCTAGATTCTTCCTTAATAGGGACTACTGGACCCTACTGAATTTGCTTTATTGCACATTAGGCATCGACTCGTCCTTCCCTTGCTTCCTCCATCCACCCATCATCCTAATGCATTTAAAATTCCACATTGCAGACATCTGTGGCTTCCTTTTCATCAGAACCAGGCTCCAGTACGGTTGACCTCTGAATAGCACAGGGGCTGTTTGGCCTGTGGTGTTCTCCCCAACCCCATCCCCTGAATTAGAGAATTCACCTGTAACTCTTGACCCTTCAAATTCAGCTACTAACAGCCTACTGTTGACTGAAGCCTTGCTGATAACACAAAAAGTCAACTAACATGTTTTGTCAGTTAACACATTTTTTTGTATTATAAACTGTTTTCTTACAATAAAGTAAACTAGAAGAAAGAAATGTTATTAAGAAAATAAGGAAGAGAAAAAATATTTACAGCATTTATTGAAAAAGAATCCATGTACAAGTGGACCTACACAGTCCAACCCATGTTCAAGCTTCCACTGTATTTGCTTATGGCCTTTTTTTAAATGTAAAATGTTACCCACAGTGATGAAATTCACAAATCTGAAGTGTGTGTTGGCAAAGTGTTGATAAGAACATTCACTTGTAACCTGAACCCTTATCGAGAACATAATCATCATTCCAGAGAATTCTCAAGTCTCTTTTGGTCAATTCCCACCTTCACCAACCCTCAGCGGCAACTACCGGTATAATTTTTGTTCCACAGTAGATTAGTTTTGCTTGTTCTAGAACTTCATCTAAAAGGAACTATGTATAGTATGCATTCTTTTATGGATGGTTTCCTTCTTTCTTTTTTTTTAAGATTTTATTCATTTATTTTTAGAGAGGGAGGGGAGGGAGAAAGAGAGAGAGGGAAACATCAATATGCAGTTGCTGGGGGTCATGGCCTACAACCCAGGAATATACCCTGACTGGGAATCGAACCTGCAACACTTTGGTTCACAGCCCGAGCTCAATCCACTGAGCTATGCCAGCCAGGGCTCGGATGGTTTCTTTCACTCAACACATTTTGAGACTGAACCTGTGGTTATGATAGGGGATTTAAGAGTTGGGAAATTCTATTTTAAGTAATAACCAGTAAGTTTAGCAATCAATGCAAGTAAAAGCTTTGTCGCAGGAACAGAAGGTGTGACCCACCCTGCCTCCAGGAGACCCTAAGCAGTTCCACCTCTGTTCCTCAGGAGAACTGCAAGCAATTCAAGATGAAGTCTGAGCCACTGTGCTCCAGGGTGAGATGACCACCACCCAGCACACAGCAGAAGACCACTGCCTGAGGCACAGTTTAAGACCACTGCCCAGGGCAGGAATGCTGAAGTCATTTTTTTTTCAGTCCAGTTAACTCCTCCCTGAATTTCAAAACCCCTCACCACACCTTGTTTAGTCCCTGCGGTAACAACCTTGGCGTGGAAAGAAAAGACAAGATGGTCTGTTAGGGTATGAACCTACCATCTTCTCAGGTCATCATCAGTCATCTGAATAAAGCGCCCATAAGATTCAATCCTTGTCTCTGCTTACTGAGTTTGGTAGTGACAGGCAGCCCGAAATCCGGTGTCTTTTCTGGTCTCAGTTACGAGTAGCGATATCACCCCTTTTTCTCTTTGGGAAATACTGTTGAATACACAGCTTGTTGGTCCACCCTCCTACAGATGAACATCAGGGTTGTTCCCAGTTTCTGGCTACTATGAATAAAGCCTCTACGAGCGTTATTGTACGAGTCTTTTGTGGCCATATATTTTCATTTCTGTTGGGTAAATACATAAAAATGGAATTTGGGGGTAATACTGTGAGGGAATACTTAATTTTTTATATAAAAAACACAACTGTAGAGTGTTTTTCTTTAAAGATTTTATTTATTTATTTTTAGAGAGAGGGGAAGGGAAGGAGAAAGAGAGGGAGAGAAACATCAATGTGTGGTTGCCTCTTATGTACTCCCTACTGGGAACCTGGCCCACAACCCAGGCAGGTGCCCTGACTGGGAATCAAACCGGCGACCCTTTGCTTCACAACCTACACTCAATCCATTGAGCTACACCAGCCAGGGCTGTGGACCATTTCTTAAAACAAAGTAACTGTTCCCTTTTACCCTCCCACCAATAATACATAAGAACCCCCATTGCTCCACATTCTTGCCAACAATTGGGGTTGTCACTGTTTTTAGTAAGTCCAGGTCTTTCTATACCATGTCTGGCTCTGAACACTAGAAAATGCAAAGGGCTTTTTCATCACTAAGCATGTATGGAGCTGTGGTTGGCACACACTAGACAGAAGCTAATTCAAATTTATTCCTTGAAACCACCTGCTCGGACGCTGGGAGAGGTGAAGTAACCGAGGAACTAGGAATCCAGCCCAGGTTTTTCCTGGCTCCATTTCCTTTTTCACCTTGGCCGGGACTGGTGAAACAAGGTGGTGTTGAGAGGGGAGATTCTTGGGCCAAGGAGTGTTCTCAACCTTTTCCCATTGGTCAGAGCCCCCCAGGAAGCTCAGGAGATTCTGGTTTACGGGAGAGTCTGGTGGTGTTTCTGGCCCTGTAGGTTTAGATGAACTGGGGGCAGGGGATGGGGTGAAGGTGGGAGAGAAGACATTCTCCAAACACTTCTTCTCCCTGCTAGAGGTCTCAGGAGGTTAAGCTCTCAGGCTCGGGCTCATAAAAGGCCTGAGGGGAGGATGAGGGGCCCAAGGAGATCCGCAGAAGGTCTCATCGGCTGCCCTAGAAGGTCTCATCGGCTGCCCTAAACCTTCCACAGAAGGCACAAGGCTCATCTGGGGCTAAGGGGTGCTAGTTGCCAACTCAAATTCCAATTACAGTTCTGCTTGGCTTAAGTGATAGCCCCCACGTGAGCGGTTCGACCCAAGGAGAGCCGAATCCGTCCCGGGAGACCACCCAGGTTTATTCCGGGGACTGTGTCAGTGCCGGGGTTTGGGATACAGGTGGAGAGGAAACGGAATGGAGCCCCATCCGCTTAGTGCTCACAGTTGTATGAGGTAAATACCATCATCGTCATTAGCCAGATGAGGAATCGGAAGAAGACAGCGTTTAAGTCACTTATCCAAAGTCACACAGCTCCACGTGGCACATTCCAAACTCTGTCCACTTCCTAGTGGACACGAGTGATGCAGGGGCTGCAGAGTAACAGGTTTGGAGCTGGTTGCTAAGCGATCCTGGTCTTCAGGTCCTTCTGTATGTAAATTCTGACTCAGCTCCTGCCAGGGGCACGTACTCAGGGGTATTAGCTATTGTTTTCATTATGATTACATAGCTGGAGCGTCTTATTGGCACGGCCTCAGGATATCAAAGGAGCTTTTTGATAAAAGAGCTTTGACCTTTGATAAAGGAGCTTTTTAAAGCTCTTTTTGTAATTCTGCTGTCTTGATACCCAGCTCCGGCAGTGGTTTCTGAATGAATGAAATACGGAACAGTTACCCCCTCCCCAAGCAGGGATCTGAGGGCTTTGAATGCGCGGCGTTCCGGCTGCAGCGGGCCCTGCGTAATTTTCGCAGGCTGGGTGGAGCCCCTTAGGGACACCTTCAGTTCCCTTCTGCTCCCCACATGCCCCAGCCCACAGAGTTAGAGGCCGGCGGGGCTCAGAGCCCCTCTTCCCCAGCCGGCGTGTCCACCCAGAGCGGGTTCTCCAAAAGCTGAGGCTGGCGCGGTTGGCGCAGGGGCCACGGGGCGGCCAGCAGAAGGAGGGGGTGGGGTGCGGGTGCCAGGCTCCACGGGGAGCCGGGGTGAGGACCGGGTGCAGCTAGCAGGACAAGCAGGGGGTGGGTGGGGGTGCCAAGCTCACTAGCGAGCCTGGGACGGGGTGGGGTGCAGCCAACAGGAAGAGTAGGGGGTGGGGGTGCTGGGCTGGTCCCGGGCCGGTCACGTGATGAGTCAGCCGGGCCCGGGGCGGGGCCGGCGCGGTAAATAGGAGCGGGGGCGGCCGGGGGACCTGCGGCGGCTGCTTCGGCACCGGCACCGACTCGAAGCGTCCTTCCCGGCTGCAGGCCCAGGTTCTAGGCAGCGGAGCTCGGTGAGTCCGGGTGGGCGGCGGGTCGGGGCGCGAGCGCAGCGCCACCCCGGCGGAAGTGACCTTGGCAGGGGATGAGGAGACGAGCCCGGTGCGCCCCTGGTCGGGCCCACTCGGCGCCTCCCGCGCCCCGCGGGGCGGTGCGGGGACGCTCAGGCTATCACAGCCCGGCCAGCAGGGATGGCGGCCGCGCACTGCTAAAAAGTCGCCCTGGGGAGAAAAGCAGAAAACCACCCGATCGCCAGCAGCCGAGGTCCCAGCCCCCACCCGGCCGGGAAGCTCCCTCCGGCCGCCTCCTCTAGGGCTGTGTTCTGGTCTCGGGCGGGGTCTTGCGGACCCCACGACCCTCCGGTCCCCAGGGCTGGCCCGGGAGGCAGCCCAGGCGGAGCCGGGCAGTTGCAGGGGTGGTCGGAGGGAGGAGCCTGCGAGGAATGGCTTGGCTCGGATCCCGCGACTTTCAGCTAGAATCTGGCTGCCGGCGCCTGGTGGGTGTCCGGGCCTCAGTTTCCCTAGCAAACTTCGGAAATCATAGTACCTACCTCTGCATCTGCTTTGGGTGTTTTCTTATACCAGATGGTTGTCTGGGCAACTGTCTGCACACAATCCTGGACAATTTAGGGCCCCAGAAGACAGAAACCTGAAAACAGGAATCCGGGGCTGGGTGGATGGGGGTGGAAACCACATGGAAGTTAAATCCACGGAGGGGAAGAGAAACTGGACGGAGAGGAGGAGAGGAGACTATACAGGGTCCCAGTCCCCCTGGCCCCGGGGAGTGTGGGGGCGGGAGGAAGAGGCCACTCCTACTCCTTGGCTGGGCACCTCAGGCCCAGGGTGGTGTGGGCAAGGGAAGAGCAGGGCTGCATCCCTGGGGCATCACCTCTCCCTTCAGTTAATGACCCCGCAGCCCTGGGAGAGGGAGCATATAGGGAGCATTGTGGAGTGACTGAGTTTGGGGGGCTCAACCAGTAGGCCGTCCAGGTAGGTATGGCTGGGATTTGCCACCTTAGTGGGCCTTGGTCAACCCCTTCCCTGGGCACCGAGGAGGCCAACAGGAGCAGGGAGAAGGGCAACAGCCCAGGCCCCATATACTGCTGCCCAACCCCATAGAAACCCTCTGGGATGGGGGAAGAGGGCCTAGCATCTTTTGTTACCTTGGGAAACATGATCCCCGAGTGCCTTCACCCTGAGGTGAATGCTGCTGAGATTCATTCATCTAGATGAGTCTCTCCGTGCAGCCTGAGTGAGAAGGTGAAAGGCTTAGAAGGGTGTCCGGCTTGGCCAAGGCCACTTTCCTTTTCTTCCATGATGTTCTCACAGTAACGGAGACTTGTTTCCTGTTGGCACTGGTGATGGTGAGCAAGGGCCCTTGAGCACGGAGAATGGGGCTGGGCTGTCCGCACCCTGTGGGGCTTTCCCAAAGAGAGAGTTGAAGGCACCCTGGAGAAAGGTTCTGCTCAGACTTTTTCTGGGCTTTTGTCCCAGGCCCGGGGTAATGCCCAGTGGAAAGGTGCAGGTTCCTCATCTGGGGGCTTCGCAGGCCTGACCTAGCCCAGCTGCAGCGACTCCCTCCTGGGATAGGGGCTCTGGACAACCCTGTTTCCTACCGGGTCAGAGGGAGAGAGGGGAAGCTTTATGGCTCCAGGAAAAACCTGCCCATGTGCTGCTGACTCAGCAGCTTGCACCGAGGCCTGTGGTTCTTTCCCAGCTGCTGAGCTGGGGAGGTGGAGTAGCAAGTTGCCCACATTTTAGGGGTGACACACACTTTGTGTGACTAGTGGCAGCTGGACTGAGAAGTGAAGGGAGAGCACATATGTCAGGCGAGCCCTGATATGTGTGCTGGGTGATTTTTTTTTAAATGAGGACTAAAATAATAGGGGTGACAACTTACAATAGTGCCTGCCACCTATTTTTGAGAGTTTGGCATAAGGAAAGTATTAGAAGTACATGAGGTCGAACTGTATGAAGTGGGCTATTGTGAACGCCGAGGATGGAAATGGGGCATTTTCATGGGGTCCACCCTCACGTGTAGAGAGATGAGGGGACTGGCAGTGAGTTGATGAAGCTGAGGCTCACACAGGTTTGGTCGTGCTCGCTGGGCAGTGAGGAGTGTGCAGGGAGGCAGTGAGCAGTGTGCCCCAGCCCATGTGGGCATCTCTACACTCGACATGCACTCCAGGAGCTGCCCGAGAGAGGGAGATGAGCCCTGCGTCCTTCCTTGGCTGTTAGTGTTCCTATTCTGCCCTAGTTTAGATGGGGGGGGGGGTCCTAGATAAAAAGCCATTACATGTTCAGACTTGAACCAGTCCTGTTTTTAACCTCAAGCCTCATCCTCACTCCCTTTCCACAGCACCGGGGCCTCCAGGTCTCAGGCTTGTGTGTGAGTGGGTTCCCTTTCTGTCACAGCTTCCCTTCACAGGGGAGCAGGTTTCCGTTTCTTTGATCCACATTCAGCACCACTTGGCTTCTGGTCTTCCTAAGGGACATTGTAGCTGCTTTCTGCTCTTTGTATAGTTCTCCTACATTTTTTCCCACTTTTAATACTTTGTATCAATCCATGAACAGTGTTATGAAAGTTAGTGTTAACTTTCATTATACTGCATGTATCCTTTCCCACTGGTGTTTATGAGAGTTATTTATGTTAACAGATACAGTTCTAGTTCATTCATTTTAAATGCACACTGTATTTGTCTACTGAGGGACACTTAGGTCATTTTTGCTTTTTCACTGTTGCTTACAGTGCTACATTAAATATCTTTGGATCTCTTAGACACTTTTCAAGAGTTTCTGTGGGGCAAAAGCAGGAGAAGTTGAATAATTGCTGGGTCATCATGGGTGTGTATCTTCCATTTTGCTGGATACCAAACAGTGCATGGAGGCAAAGTTTTACCAACCTGTACACCCAGCAGTGTTGAGAGTTCCTGTTCCTCCTATTTCCCAACACTGGATACTATCAGACTTTGATTCTTCTCAAGCACTGGTTTCCCTTACCTGTAGAACAAGAGCCTATACAAGATGTTTCCAGTGTTACTGCTCAGTGAGTACTGGGTACCAGGAAGAAGGCAGGAGAGCATTCTTGACTGCCTTATCTGTCTCCCACAGGCCAATAACTCATTTAGTCTGGTCATCAAGATAACCTAGCAAGTTGGGGAGAGGAAGGAGGGACAGATACAACCAAACCAAAATAGTAAACAGAATCAGCCTGGAGCACTCTGAAAACACCTGGGTATTCTGCTGAGAGACCCGGGGGAGGCTGGGCTTCTCTGACTCTCTGACCTGCTGACCTGGACTGGGCAGAATGTGTGCGCACACACACACGTCACATAGCTTCCAGGCTTGCACAAGACCTGGGTAGGTGGTGCCAGCCAACGGCTTTAGTCACTCCAGGGTTGAGGCATTGTCCAGCCTCAGCTGGGAGCCATCTGCCACCCATTCTCGGTCCACTTAACCCTGCAGGTGTTTGGGAGGTGCTTGGTTCTGGTGGTCACGATAGCACCGCAAACCGTCATTTGAGTGCTTGTCCCTGAAAGTTGGAGGATCATAATTTTTCATCCATACTGGGATATTTTGAGAATAAAAAGAATTACCCAGAGACAGCAACAGTTAACTGGCCTGTGGAGAGGGAGAGGTGTATAGTCACCCCACTAGCGAGTGAGAGGCTGTTTCCTAGTGGCAGTTCATCGTAAGGGCTGCCTAAGGCAGGCAGCATGAAAAGCTGTTTGAAAAAGGGCATCTCCTTCTGTCTCCCAACAGCCTTGTGAGGTGAGTTTCTTTCCCTGGGGCCTCAGGAGAGGAAACCAGGACTGAGCCGGAGAGATGAAGCCTTTCTGTTGCTCGCTGTTGGGGGTCCACCACCTCGGTCACCCTGGACCCACCTAGCAGGGAGACGTAATCTAGCCTGTGGCTGAATGAGGGAGCTGCTGTGTTCCTGCATCACGGGGCACTAATTCATTTAAAGATCCAAGGGTTTCTAAAAGCTTTGATAAAGTAGCTCCACAGGCTTTCAGAGTCCAGGCAGTATGCCGAGTTTATCTTATTCTATTTTTACTGATTGATTTTAGAGAGAGGGGAAGGGAGGGTGGGGGAGGAGGGAGAGAGACATCAATTTGTTGTTCCACTTACTGATGCGTTCATCGGCTGATTCTCGTCTGTGCCCTCACCACGCAGTGTGCCCATTTTAGAAACTGAGACATGGAGATGTGGTGCCCCTTTCAGCATTTCAGTAAGTTAGTTTCAGCTGGTGAGCAGAGGCTTCCAGAACTTTCCAGAACTTTGTCTGAACTGTGTTTTGTTTCTCAACAACACAACATTTTTGAGCTGATTGGGGACTTTCTGGGGTCCATTGTTTTAAGCCTATGGTCGTAATTTTCTTCTGTTTGCAGGATGTGGGCTGTCATGGCTGATCTTGAGCAATGTTCCATTTGTGGGCGCTGTAGCTACACCGTTTCCAGACACTGGGAGCGCAGCAGCCCTGCTGAACCTGGTGGGAATTAGTCACTTATTTCAGACGGGTGATTGGCAGGTGGGCTGCAGGCGAAGTACCTGTGAGAGGCTGAGGCAATGGGGCCTTCACACTGCCTCCCCTGCCTCCCCGGGTTCCCCTGGAGCCTGCAGGGCTGATGAGCAGTGCTGCTGGCGGCCAACTACAGTGATGACTTTTCTGGGTCCCAGCAGTTGCTTGGGGTGGGGGGCGTTTCAGTTGCAGGAAGCCAGGCTCTAGGGGGGGATAGATAGCCTACCCGGTACCTGTGCGTCCTCACAGCACTGAGACAGGTGACAGCTGGAAGCCCTTTCTGTTTTGTCTTGTTTTTCTAGTTTAAAGATGGTAAGCTAAGAAGCAGTTAACCATGTTTGCTTTAGGAGCAAAGCCATAAAACAGAAAAGACCAAATCAAAGGCTGTGATTCAGAGTCCAGAAGGAAAAGCCTTGGGTTTCTTTCCTTCAGGGCCATTGGAGTGTATTTGCAGTCGAGGCACTTGTGCAGGGTTGCCAAGGTGCTGCCCCAACACTGAGGTGTGTAACTGGGCAAACAGATCAAGGGGAAATGGAGACCTGCCTCCTTTTGTTTTGTGTGTGTGCTGGCGTGGTCAGGAGTTCAAGAATCACTGCCATTAACAACAGCAAGAGGCAAGACCAGTCTTTGTGGAAGAGAGACTTACAAAGTTCTCTAGCAAGGTTTCACTAAATCTTCACACCCCTCCCACCTCTCTCCTCTCCCCCTAATCAATTTGTGTGTGTGTGTGTGTGTGTGTGTGTATAAATCTCTCTCTATACATACACACACACATATAGAGAGAGAGAGAGAGAGAGATAGTGAAACCTAATGTGTGGCTATTAGCAAAGTGCAGGCACTTGATCTTTTGGTTCTTTAGAACCAGCTGCAAAAGGTCACCAGTATATGAACAGCAGCGGACAAGGAAGAGCAAAGTACTGGTTGTGAAAGACTTGCTGGATATTCACTCTTCTTCTGCATTAGCCAGGAGATTGCAGCTGGCTTGTTTGGAAAGTTCAAGTAGAAATGTCCTCTCTCACCAGATTCAATATAGATTGAGAATCCAGTCAACCAGCCCTGGCCAGTGTAGCTCACTTGTTTGGAACATCATCCTATAAACCCAAAGTTCTCGGGTTCAATTCCTGTTCAGGGCACATGCCTAGGTCACAGATTTGGTCCCTGGTTGGGGCATGTACTGGAGGCAACCGATGGATGTTTCTCTCCCTCCCTTCACCTCTCTATAAAATCAATAAACTTGTCCTTGGGTGAGGATTAAAAAAAAAACAAACAAAAAAGAATCCAGTCAACTCCAGGGCTCTATAATCACTCACATTCTAAAAAATGAAACCAAGGCAGACGGCAGCCAGAACTGATTCTGTGTCCTTAGGGATGTCAGGTCTCAAAGCCTCCTGTGGCATCAGCCGCTCCCCTCCTGTGTGCATTCTCTCTCTCCCCGGGAATGGCTTCAGGGCATTCTGGGGACCAGTTCTGCTCTGAGGGGAGACAGATAGGATCACCTGGCCAGAGGCCCTTTTGTTCTCAGGAAGGTCTACAGAACTTTTGTGGGATGTGTTTTCATGTAAAGTGGTAAATGCTATAGAGGTTTAGAGAGGAAAGGAATGAGAGAACCCCCCCACCCCCCACCCCCTTTTAGCTAGATATTACCTTGGAAAAGGGGGGACGGGATGTGATGGAATCCCAGGTCCTATGCAGTTAGTCCTGCTGACCAAGGACCAGAAGTAATGCTGGCCCCACCGAGAACTTCCCTCCACCGCCCACGCCCTGAAAGGCAGGGTGGTGATTTGCAGTGTCCTCGTCCCGTGGGGGCCCCTCTCCCCCAGGAAGTAAGAACTTTCTGTCCATTCTCTCCTGTAATTAAGAGGGAAAAAATGCACAGAATTGAGAAATAAAAGGGAAGTAGGTGCCAAAAGGAGGGGAAGTGAAAGCTCTTCTTTTAGTGCCAAGGCCACGGGACTCGTGAACTGCCTGTCACCAGCACAGCCTGTTGTTTCCAGCACCTGTGTGCAGTCTGTCCCGTGCGCGTGGTGTGCGTGGGTGTGGGGGAAGGAAGGCTGTCTGGTGCTCACAGAGATG